TCTGGACCGGACTTGTTCTGGTTGATGGTTCCACGATGCGCATCACCATGCTTAGCATCTTTTCGATCTGTTGACTTACGTCAACTCGAATGATGTCTGCTGACGTCAGTAACTTACTGTCGATTGTCATTTTTTAGGGGTATACTCTGCATCCCCAAAACTTTTAATATAAATTTTGTGATGCAGGGATATACCCCTAAAAATGAATCAAATTTGTACGTAGTGATGCAGAATTTTGAAAAGCGATAAATGAATTTATTGATATGTACGTACGTAATGGCTTACTCTATTTGATTGTTCCCAATTTGGCGTCAAAAGCGTAAAAAATATCTTATATATATTAACTCATCAATATCTTTCTTTTCTTTGACGTTTATTTTTCGTCACGAATGCTCAATAATAGTCAATAATAGTTTTCAAAAAAAATGTCTTCTGAACTATTATTTGATTTTTCTCAGGAAATTTTAAACTTATTAACCGGTAGTGATGAATATGATGTGATAATTTATGTTGGAAAGGGCGAAAACGAAAAAACCCTTCAGGCTCATTCGTTAATCTTAAAGGCTAGAAGTAGTTATTATAAAGCTGCTTTATCCAAACAATGGACTAAAAAAGAAGGTGATTCCAACATTTTAAGACACCCTGATATTGCTTCAAATGTTTTCGAAATCATTCTTAAGTAAGTTTTAACACCTTTAACATCTTTTGTTTCCTTGATCAAGAATTAAATGAAAGTAAATAGTAATGAATTAAAATTATTAATTAATATATATATATTTTATAGTTATATATATAGCGGAATTATTACAATAGATGATATGGACATAATGAAAGTGCTAGAACTATTAGCAGCTGCTGATAAATTATCACTCACGAATCTATTGAAATTCATTCAAGATCATTTAATAAAAACCAAGTCGGAATGGTTACATTCTTATACCATAACGATCTATCAAGCAGTAATGTCATGTAATTCTTGTTTTAATCTAAAAAAAATCATATTAGATACAATTGGTTCCGATCCTGAATTATTATTTAAATCTTCTGACTTCCTAACGATCGAAAAATCTTTTCTGTTGCCGATACTTGAACTTGATATTTTGGACATGGTAGAAGATGAAATTTGTGATCAGGTCATCGAATGGGGAATTGCCCAAACTAATTCTAATTTACAAATCACAAACATTCATGATTGGACTTCTGAAGAAGTTAAAACCTTAGTTCCAGCTCTTTCTGATTGTTTACCATTAATTAGATTTTCTCAAATGTCTAGAGGCAATATTTACGATAAAGTTTGGCCGTTAAGAGAAATTCTATCTCCAAAATTAGTAGATGATATTGTCAAATATCATTTGAAGGATATTAGTGAATCTACGTTAGGTAAACCAAGAAGTATTTCTGTCTTAATAACTCATCAACAAAAGTCAAAAATCGCTAAATGGATCGACAAGAATGCCGATATCAGTACTTGCATTCCTTATAAATTTAAATTGTTAATTCGTGGAACTCGTGATGGTTTCGATTCACAAACTTTTCATCAACTATGTGATAATCAAGGTCCCACTGTAGTTGTTATGAAGGTTGCCAACTCTTCCGAAATTATTGGTGGGTATAATCCTATAGAATGGAGAGTTGGTTCGGGACATTTGGAAACCGGTGAAAGTTTTCTGTTCTCATTTGGAAATAGAGATCTATTAGAAGATGCAAAGATCAGTAAAGTTATGAGAGCTGGTTATGCTATCACCTTGAAGGACGAAAGATATGGCCCTTGTTTCGGTGATAAAGATCTTTGGATGAATGGTAACTTTGATCAGCCCAATAGTTGTAGTTCTCAACGAGACGATTACGAAAGCCAGATCACAGGAAATCAAAAATTCTTTGTTTCTGAATATGAAGTTTTTAAGATCATTAAGAAATAATCTTTTATCTATGATAAATCTTTTTTAGCATATTATGATAAATTTTTATAAAATCATTTCATATAGTGAACTTTATTTATACACAAATGCCCGAGGTCATGTTCGAGAAATCTTGGTCCATGCATTATATGCGGTTCCCAGGAGTTGAATCTAATATATAAAAAATAAAAAATTGGGCCGCAGAAAAAGCTAATAAAGTTCTAATAATTTTTCTTTGCAATTTATATAAAGAAAATAACCAATTATGTTTAAAATTATAATACCAAGAAATATAAAATTTTACAATAACGAAAACGATGTGATTTATTGTATATTGTCAGAAAATTATCTTTTTAACGAATGATATACTTGATGATAAAGTATCTCGTAATTGACAATAATTGAATGTAATTCATCATAAATAAATAAAATAAATTCATCTTATAATATCAGATATGGAGCTGGAGACTTATACTCGACAATCACGGGAAACATTTCAATTTTCTCGTAATCAGTGATGCGGTAGAATCGTCTCAATTAGAGCTGGGAACCGTGAATATCCACGGTTAATAAAGTATATTCAATTAAAAGTGAATATAAATTCACGAATAGTTAAGGATTAGAGTATAGGGATAGAAAATGTTTTAAAACGGAATGTTTAAAAACATGTTTGTTTGATTTAAAACTGTTTTTAAAATGATATAATACATTCTAACGTAATCATAATACGTAACAAAGTGGTAGTGTTTATTTAATTAATTCCGTTAAAATATAATCTCTTTAAAATATAAAATTATAAACAGTCATACTCCGTGGGAGACCTCCATTAAAAGAAATTCGCTTGAACTTTACAAAAGTTACGGAAATTGACAAACTTGGTCGAACCAAACCACGCCAAAAGTGTAACTACTGTGGAGAGGATTTTGTGGATTTAGTCGCTCGATTAAAGGATCACTTAAAAAAGTCTCAAAAAGTATGAAAAATTTATTAAATAATGCTGATACTCAAGCCTCGGTTCAAATGAAGATGAGATAACAGTGCAGCAGAACGTTGCTGGTCTAACTTTGGGTATATTCATAATAAACATCGTGCACGCTAGATAATGAATGGGTAAAAAAACTTGTTGCATTCTATCAGAATTTGAGAATTCAAAAAGGAATTGAGATTGATGGTTGGTTCGAAGACATAACTGATAATTGACTTTATAATTATACATTAAATTATATAAAAAGAGCGTTGTAAAAGTGAGAACTGATCCGGAATCGGGAAATATGGGCAGTACGGATATCAACTAACACTACAACTAATATAAACAATACTCTAAACTGCTAAACTCTACTGAACCTAGGCACGAAAGAGGCGTGAGGACTTGGTCCGAGTTATTAGGGTTAAATAGAGCTCTAGATTACGTCACGGGGCTCTACTTCGGATCACGGGTTTAGACTACTAATTCTATGCGAATTTGGGGGGTAATTGGAACGAAACTATAATTGACTCTGGTTGAGTCGAACTCTAATGAGTTCTACCAACTCTCACTGAGTTATCTTTTATTGAAGCGAAACGATAGGTCTTAAATACTTTAGACCAATGCTGCGTACAGGAATATTTTTACTAATGCCTGCTATTCTAATATGTTATTTAGATTCTAATTTCGACCTATTTAGAATAAAAGGAACGATATGGTGCGAAAGCGCACCTGGCTTAGATGACTAGGTGCAATTTCGCCCCATGTGCAAAATCGACCCAGGTACAAAATGAAATTCCTATTTTTAGTAACATATACTGTTCCAACTTCGTAATAAAATAAAAAATAATAACATAATAATAATACACAAAAATAGAATAAAACAACATAAAAAAAAAAATTTTGGATCGCGGACACCCGGGCCTTTACAGCGTGCAAAAAAGAAAAAAAAAGAAAAAAAATTATATATATATACATATATATATAGTTAAGCAATTGCGCATTTCTTGTAATCATATAATAACGGAAGTTTATAAAGTAAATATTTTTTCTTTAAAAGTTATCCCTATGAAATTTGGTGAGCATTTTAGCCCTAAATTTTAAATTTTAGTCTCGACGCCAATGTTATAAAAAGTTTTAAAAAAAGTTTTAAAACATCTAAAAAACTGTTTAAACCATTTTTTCCCATCCCTATTAGAGTATATTAAGTAGTTTTTTACACGGAATTCGTGAATATTCGAGATGAATAATCTAAGATTTTACTATTACGTGGGCATCCATATAAAATTTGAATATTTATCAATGCTCTCGAGAGAGTCTAGGGTAAGAGATCTGTGACTTCGATTGATTAGTTGCCCTATAAGTAAAGTGGTACGGGTTGTGGTACGGGTTGGTTTCGGGAATGTACGGAGTGGCACAGATTGTGTGGCATACACAGGCACGTTTTACGGAATGGCACGGTAAAAATGGCACGGACATTTCGGCAAGGGGTGGCACGTTATATCACGTTATACGGAACAAAACGTTCAGATGACACGTATGTGTACGTTGCACACGTGTTGGCTCGTTTCGCGGAGAGCGAAAGATCAATAAATGATTTTTTTTTTAAAAAAAGTGCAATATCTCATAATTTCACTGATAAAGCTGCTCTGAGTATCTTAACAA